TGCACGCAAAACCGATGCATGACGAACGGAGTCATCAGTCCTAAGTGCTGGGCCTACAAGGAGACAGTTATTAATGAGGTGGGGAGGGGAGGGGAGAAGAAAAAGCATGTGAAGGAGAAAGAAGGGGGCGGCAGCAGTAGCCTGTTTTCGCTTACCCGCCCTACTGTATGCAGCAAGTAAGGCGACCCGGCTGATGGCACCACGAGACGGCCGATGTGGCATGAGTTTATTTGTGTATGTGCAATTCATGGTTGTACGTGCGCTGGGATACTGCCAGGGCGCCCACACCTAGACAGGAGGACGATTAGGGTCCTCAACCAAAGACTTTGGCTCAAAAGCCTAACCGCAAGGCAGCGGTGTTTGGCGGGAAATGCAAATGCATTACCATTTCTACAGAACAGGTCGCCACATGTTCCAAACCCCAACCTGGAGGGCCAGGAGACTGTGTTCGTCAGACTTCTAACCATTGACCAACCTGGTATGAGAGACTCTGTGAGTATCGCGGGACACTCTCCGGTATAGCTCAATGGATCGCTGAGGTGCGAAAACCGTCACACCACGGTAAGGTCCAGTCTCTTCGTGACGGTGGTCAGTAATATCCGACATAGTACGGCCAGGCAGACAATTAGGGAGTTGTTTCTGAAAATTTCTGGGTTCATTAGATTCTCAACGCCTAAGCGAGGCCCGTTCGTTTTGTGTAGACCTGAAAAGTACGGTGTAAAGCAGCAGCGCATAACTGCATGGTCGAAGCCCACGCTGGTGTTCCAGAAGGAACGGCAGGTAGTGATGGAGCCTCGCCACCGATAACTAATGGTGCTGTTGTCTATTTAGATTCTGAGCTGGTTGGTTAGTGGGCACTACGTTGTCAAGCGATTTCTGCTGTTCAGGAAATTCGTACTTCAAAGGAACAGTATGTGATCGGCACATACCTGAAGCAGGCTATCTTCATTGTTTGTGTGTCTCGTATCCAATCCAATCCAAACGGGATCAGCAGCAGTTAGTCAACCTACCTGAGCATCCATGTCACCAGCAACCATAACGATATCTGAGCATTTAGTCCGTTGTAGACGAGCACATAGAGCGCCGCAGATTCAGAGCTAAACAGTTGGGGTATAAGCAGACATAAAAAACAGGGCGTTGTGGACCTCACTTCCTCTCGATCCTTTCACAGTGGTTGCCAAACGAACCGCGCAGAGGCGACTATCAACGGGTATCCAATCAAGTAGACACGCTTCCGCTTGATCGCTCAATACAACGCCTACCCTGACCTCCAGCCATAGTGTGCAAACGTTGAAGGCAGATAAGTATACCTGCTTCGGGAGTTGGAGGCAAACTTCGAAGTATTTAGGATTGTCACTGAAGTCGGATGTCCAAAAGCTTCAGCTGAGCTGCGGCGAAATGGACCAAGGGTTAGAGCGCGAATTTACGGACCGGAAGGTCCGTGGTTCGAACCTGACCTCTGCTTCTCGACTTCCCCTGTATAGGCTTGGGCAACCTGGCAGTGTTCCAGCCCCCGTACCTCCTTCGCGTGGCATGGCAGCTAAGCACCGAAAGGGTGCTACAGCTGAACGAGTCTTTTTTCAGCTGAGCTCGATGCATGCGAACAAAATGGTCTGCATTAGTGCTGGGGCATGCGGAGAATGCATTCAGATGGAGGTAGGATAGAAGAGCGAATGCTTTAAAGGAGAGTAGTGTCAGCAGTAGCCTGTTTTTGCTTGCCCGCCATGCTGTGTGCAGCAAGTAATATAACCCGGCTGGTGACACCACCTGGTAGTCGATGTAGGACGAGGGTGTTATTGGTTGTATCTTGGCTATACGTGGACTGGGATACTTCCAGGGCGCACATACCTGGACAAGAGGATGATTTGGTCCCCACCCAAAGCCTCTGGCTTAAAAACCCAACTGAATGGTAACGATGTTTGGTTGAAGACCGTCGGAGCAGTTCATATTTTTAAGGGGCAAGTAGCTACACATGCCCCGATCCGCAGCCTGAGGATCGGAAAACTGTTAGCCAGACCTCTATTCGATGATCAACCTGATAGGAGAGGCTCTATGAGTATCACGTGTACACTCTCCAGTGTGGCCGAATAGGTTATGAAGATGCACAGATCCTCACACCGGTAAGATCCAGTCTCTTCCTGCGACTAGTATTCGTGAAAGTTGTTGGTACTGTTTGTCCTCTGGTATGGGGTCCATGTCACCCTCCCTGTGTTACCCCAATGACACCGAACAATATGGTGACCAACTGGCGTCATTGGAGTTCATGCTGTCATACCGTCTGACTGAGTGGTGATGTGCTCACCCCGGACGTTTATGGAAGGCTAGCCCCAAGTCCCCTCCGTGTTCCATCTTCTGTCTACTACGAGGCTTTGTTGAGCTAAACTGACGTGGTCGTACGGCTGTAAAGTTCCAGTGTTCTCTGATTTAGCTGTCAATGATGGTCACCAACTAAACTGCGTCCTCTGAAACTAGAAAGATTCGTTCCCTTTCTCTAGGCGGCTGCGGAGTGCCATCAGATTGACCGCTGGATTGGGTTCATTCTTGTACAGCTAGCCAGCTGCAGTCCCGTGAGAAACGAGTCACCCAACAATCCGTTTATTTTCAACGCTCTGATCTTAGAAGCCACTGAATGTAGCCTCCTTGTTTGGCCCTACTGTACAAGCTACTCTAATACTTTTACCTTGTAGGTAACGCGGCGACTGACAACATGACGACCTACATGGAGTTAGATCGTTGCCAATTTTTATGTTCATGCCGAAGGACCAGCTCCTTGTTTCGTCTGTACTTCTGCAGGCACTGCCTTGCTATTCGGTGCGCCAACTGTGTGTCACACGAGGTGGGTAATTTCATTCTTCAGTTCTGTTCTACCACCATATATTGCTTTAGCACTATTCTGCTGTCATGAATGTCCTATTTGTCTTTCGTATTTCACGAGATATTGCAAATGCAATGATCAGTTCTTCTGAACTCGATCATGTTCACGAGTTCGAAAATCGGCAAATGATTGGCCGTCGGTTTAACGTATTACCTTCCCAATTTTTAGCGCACCACCAAACCATTACTATCGGTTGTGTTATCGTTATCCCAGCGAACCAACCAGCATGTGATTGGCTCACTGTTGACCGGACAGGTTAGCTGACTCACGCAACTTATCAGTTCCTTCCTGTGAGAGGTCACCTTCGTGGAACTCCACGACGTCGTTCTCCAGGGGCCGCAGCTAAATATACATCTTCAGGGAAGGTTATTCCTCAAAAGATTCAGTGTATCCTTCCCCTGTGGTTACTTTCTGAGGATATGTTGATCCAAATTCTAACCGCTCTAGTACCACGCTTGTTTTTGTGCTTTCACTGCTTTTTCCCCTTCTGCAGGGGCCATTTTCAGCCTTGTCATTCGGTCACTTCAGATATACCTCTCAGAGGGAGGACTGGTGTAAGCGGGACTAGTTATATCGTCATATCAACCATTCAATCTTGAAATTTTGTGAGTACTTAACTCTGAACGATTTCTGAAACGGTATACATGACAGAAACAGAAGCCATGAGGAGTCTAGGTGTGAATCCCTCAATGTCGAGAAGCTAGTTCGGATAGGTGCCAGCAACGTAGCGGTGGTGGCAAATGTAGAATTCACTGATATGTATGCTTCGATATGCTTCATAGTTTCTTGAAAATAGAATAGTTTGTCCGTGGTTAAGGCATACCGGTGCCTCGTTCACTCTCTCCTGCGAAAATCCAGTGCTGACCCTTTTATCTTCCTCCTCAAATTCACTTTCTCATATGCCTCACCAATGCCTCTAAATCATCCAGAATGTGTTTCCCCTACAGGTTGATTCACACTATTGTCCGAATTGCTTGGAGAACATGGCAAGCGCTGAGGCCAAGATACGCAAACATCGTTGTGGGAACTGTTTCGATTGCCCCAGCTGTGGACACACCTTATCTACGCGCGCAACCGCCACGATGTTACCAAAGCCGGATGATCCAAGTAAAACAATGGCACAAAAGGCCTACTACTTGACCTGTTCATTTTGTCGGTGGAGCACACGAGATAGTGGTATCCCAGATCAGCGTCAGTCAACCGGTGGTTGGCAAGAAACTCCTAGTCCACATGCGAAACGCGTTAGTGGATGTATTTTGCTTAAACCAGTATCCTTGAGGCTCCCGCATTTTTTTATTTCTTGAATTTAGGGAATGCGAGTTTCTCCACATATACTTTTTTGCAAAATGGCTCACCGTTATTACTTGTGTCTCCTGTTTCCCCCGTGTTGACGAGTCTTTGTTTCCACGTTTTTTTTCGCACGAAATCTGTTTATTACTGTGCTCTCGTGCCCTTAATGTCTTCAGATTGCCGAGCTGATCGATAGCTATCATCATCTTGCTGTCAAGGAAAAAGCTGATCGTGAGTGGAGCAAATTTGTTCGGAAAAGAAACTACATGATATTGCTTGTGAGTGCATGTTTTTCGTGTTTCCCATTTATTGTGGCGACGGATTTCTGGTAATAGTTTATCGCGCTTCTTTCTAAACCGCCATATCCAAGAATCCCAGGTGAACCTGAACCCGTTCTGAGATTTTTTTGTCGTTTTCGCGGTCGCCCCCCCCCCTCTGTTAATTGTTTCTTTAACACTGCATCCCCTGCCTTAAACCGAAAGGCGCCTGAATCGAATTCACAAATTTTTGTGATCAACCGGAATATAAGTCCATGACTACTGCAGTGCATGCAATTGCTCACAACGAGATGTTGACGCTAATCAGGTATAACTTGTTGTTTTGTCAGTACACCGTGAATCTGGTGAATTGATAGTCATTGTTCAACCTACTATCACTCATTCACTCTGTCCCAGACATCTCTTCACAGCAAGTACTATCCAGCCTATCGGGCCCGAACAGAGTACATCTCATGAACATCCTTCAATCGTGAAACACTCACCGTTAAAGTTAAAGTTCATCCCCCTAAGCGGATTTTCAATACCTCTCTCTAAATTACATTAAAATAATTATATTGGAGGATTTTTCTGGGTGGAGCGTATATCTCCTGATTACTGGATCGCCAGCCCCTCTTTTTTATTAATTTTCTATCCTAATTTTCACACGAGACCCCCTTGGACGAAACGCTTGTACTCATTATTTTCAACTGGCATATCGCTCTCTACTCTAATCAGCTGTGGCTCATTGCACAAGCGCGAAGCCTCAATATGCCTAATGCATGATTTGCTAGCGTGTTCAGCTTAGGCGCAAAACGTAATGGTAATGATGAACCTATCTTTCAGCCCTTTACCGCGCACAAGTTATTTTCCAGCAGCGCTGCTGTGAGTCCTGTTGAATTACTTGGCATCCCAACAACCATCGGTTCAGATTGATCCCATGTTATTAGCTACTAGTGACAAGGCCTGGCTGTCAACTGTCGACACCTAAATTATGTACTCCTTCGATCATCTTGAATAGACCTAGGTAACCAATTTTCCATATGGCAGTCGTGAAGATTTGTGAATTACAAATCAAACTTAAATGCGCAAAACTCTGAAAGTGACTCCCTCGGAGGATATTAGTCTTAGCAGTAAAGAGCCAGGCACGACGGCCACCGCCGCAGTCATCGTCAGCAATACACCATTGGTCATTAGTGGCGCCTAACTACCAGACAGAAGTGAGGACAGGACGCCGCCCTACTAAACAATGGAGAGGGAAAGGGTTGGGATACGGTACAAAACACCCGATGACCTGAGGAAAAACAATGGGGTGTTTCATACTGATATCTTCGAATACTCCTGGACTAAACCCATATTTGCACTATTCCGGAGTAAGACGGAGCTAATCCAACATCCTTTGCGAACCTTAGCCAACACAAACCCAGCGCGTTAGCTTGGTAATCCGGTAGTCACTGTCAGCATACTTGCCTCTGAGCTTGATTGCGTTTCCTGTCTTGTAGGAATTCCAACTGCGTGCACGAAAAACCACGTGCGTCTCAACCAAAAAGGTGCAAAGGTCTCACAGTAATCCGTTTGATGGTGAACACTTCTGTTTCGCTTTACCGTACCATGGCTTTTTCCCCGCGGAGCTTTTGCCGGCCAGTACTCAGAATCGAAAGCAGTGCTTTCTTTAGCAGACGCAAGTGGGCTTGTACAGTACACGTCATGATGGCCTTAAACTGATAAGCCCAGTTATTCTGATTTTGGCTGCGTATCATTTCGTCGCACACACACTGAAGTCAACTGAATTCTGCTACACTATGATGGCACTGGTGATCAAATGTTTAAAAGCAGAACACAAATAAATGATCTTTCAAGTCAGTATTGATTTCGGATGCACCTCTTTTCTACCACTGTACATAGGACACAAATTCTGGGGAGGTACGTGGTACTTGTGTTTCAAGGCACCAACAGTTTGATCTTGAAACAATGTGAACTTGAAACGAAAGTTGATTCTCGGGTCCCAGCTTATCGCAAAGCATACCGTAGGCATCAATATTCGAGCAGGAATTTGCATTTACTGAGATGAAGTCGGGTATTACTGGGGACTCTGATGAAGGTGTCTCAGAAAAAGAGAACAGAATGTGCGAGAGGGAAACTTGCACCTCCCAACGCTTCCCAGACTTACTCGAACAGTTTGTTTTGACACAACAGCCGAATTCAAGCATCCCATTTGATATTCTCCAACCGGATACACCACAACGCGAAACGGTTTCATGTTCCATCTAAGTTTTCCAATTAATTAATTAGTTAATACATGTAATTTGGATTACGGAGTATGAAGCAAATTTGATGAAAATTCGGAGACTACACCTACCTAATGAACTCTAAAGAGGAAAACCAATGGTGGACTGGCGGAACGTTTCTGGTATTCTCAGTGGTAGTATCTTGCCAAACCGACACGCATTGAAGATTAGATTCGATAACTGTTGCACATTTTGTCTGGAGAAAACGATCAACTTTTCGCGATTTCCCCACTACCCGGTACACTGATGTTCGGTATCATACACTATCCTATCAATGGGGGACAGAAAACCTCCTTTCTGAAGGTGGCTCTCCATTGGTGGGAATTACTTTTTATAACGATTACTGGTACCCACATCCCTGGACACAATAATCTCATCAATAGTTTGGTTTGTCATAGACTTCTACGCCCCTCCTTCATTCGACTCGCTTCATTCGGATCTATGCGGTCTATGCGGTTAGACCTCCGTGGATTTTTGCATGGAAGCGCTGTCGGACTGTACTGTGAGGTCAGCTTCCACCAGTCGTTTGAGCATTTTAACAAAAACTCGTTCCAGCCAATTAGGGTCATCAGTCGTCGTACTTTTTTTCAAACTCCGAACTGACTGCTCCGATCATAGGGCTCTAAGCCCTACACCCGTTGTAAAGCGGCTACTTGTTTCACTGATACGGTTAGATAGGAAATCGAGTTCACCAAGCATGGTTCTCATTAGTTAGGAGATGATCGAACACCTATTTACATTACCTCGATTGCTTGAACAGCGCAACACATAATATTGTCCACCAATCACTGTTTTCCTCGGCTTCAAACAGATAACTGTCTGTTTATATCAGCCGTCCGGTCAGTGGTCCAAGCAACCTGACGCGCGATATATTGGCTTCAATCTCATACTCTAAAACTGGGTGTACCCCATTCACTAATCAGCATACTCCCTCTCGTGTGATGGAGGCTGGTTCTACGCGAAGGAAGAGTCAATCGCGCTGCTTACTTTCTTAAGAAGACACTATCAACATGCCATTCTTGCTGCATGAGGAACCTCGTCGTACTTCCCAAACAACGCGATCTCCGCCCGCAATTCGACGGGCATGTGCGTCTATTCACACTGTCCTCATTGTTTCTTCGAGTTTGATCTACTGGCTCTCGTGAAGAAAAATATCCTATAGTTTGAAAATCCATGCATTCGCTCATTGGTAGGGCTCAGGATTCCAGTTCTGGTTAGGAATGACCTTAATTTTACAATATCCGGATTTCGGGTGGTCCATACTAGCTTCAACGTCGGTAGCTTTTGAGTTATTAACTTTCCGGATGTGTATACTCCTGGCGAGCATGCTTATCCCTTGAAACACACGGTGTTGTGAGAATAAATGATACCAGACGCTCGCTGTGCTTTGGTTTTAATAACCTCTACGCTAATCTACGAGACTTGCCTCCTTTTACTGTGCATTTCATGGCAATACAGAATGATTTTTATCTATCTGGGTTTTCCAGGAACGCTATCCGGTTTTGAATCCCCGTTTACGCCGTTATTGTTCCTCTTCCTGGACGACACCAAAGTAGGTGGATTGTCGTTTTTGGTTTATGCTGAATACAGAATGCTCATTACTCATCATATTGTGTTCATTTCCTTACAACGGCCCCATCAATTTTTTCTGGAGAAGTTTCCGGTAAATTAGGCCCCCAGTATGATAGATTTGGCTTATTGCTGGACTTTGTTTTCAACCTGTTTTCTTCACTTGAAATCACGAATGGATAGCCTGAAGTTTCGGTGTTCCTCCACTCAACAGTTGGTCTAATCCCTTAAGCTTGCGTCTTCAGCCATGAAAGTTACGCCAGTTATATTTACCCGCCTAACCACGGTTGAGCCTAACCCTTCGACAAATCAATCCATTCGCACTGTCATCACATCAATATGACGGTTTCAATTATTCATACTTAAATCAGTGGCGGCTTAGCAATGAAGTTCATCTTGTGCGCATATTCTTCAAAAGATCACACAGATCTGTCATCTCACGCATACACACGTCATCATGTCCGTTTGGCTTGGTCAGGTTCAGTGTGCTTGTTCGGTGAGAGGCGTGATCAAACCAGTACAGACCGACTGTTGGTGATTACATGTCCAAAGTTAGGAAATCTACCAACTTTCACACTAGTAATGATAGAACAGTATTTGTGGGTTTGTACTCTCCCCATAAATTTGAGTGACTACCTTGCGACATCAGATTACTCATCTGTGACAGTGGCATCTGCTTGACCAAAGTGATAAACGAATGAGTGTGATATAACATAATGTAATATATAAATACTTCTACTAAAGTCTTTTTTACAGTCCAGACGATCCGAAAGACTACTTTTCACGTGTTCCGAACCCTAATCGCAACTCTTTCACAAGAAATACTTTTTTCATTTACAATCATGTGTTGGCCGGGTTTGTGATCTGAAATCTCAGAAAGTTAAAATGGCCAGGATTGATTGTTCACTTTGCTACTCGCGCCTATTTCATACAGTTAGGTGATGTGGACTGTTAAAGTGCTTCCCCAGGCTGTTTGGACTAGGTGAAAAATTACCCTCGCAATAGACATTACTCACTTTGCAACTACATCCTAGAGGTCACTGGTTGATTCATTTCACCATAATGATCGAACTTATCGTGATGCCGGTTTCACGAAACGTGTGGGTCGTGCGTAACCGTTTGTATAAGTTGAAATTTCGTCAAAGACAACCTGGTACTACTTGGGAGTGAGCTATTCATCCCCCTTGATGATAAATTCTTGCACAGTTGACTGCAACGAAATCCTTAAATATCATAATTTCTGTCAGTTTTCCCTGGAAGCCGTTGATGCTGTGTCGGCATGCATTAATTAGATCGTCTTGCTGAAAAACACACAACAGTTAGGTTGAACTCCTCCCGGTTATAACATTGCTTTTCATTCAGCAGTATCCGCGAATTCCACGGCTGATTCATCCAGCGTGTGTATACAATCTTGAGCATCTGAGCCCACCAGTCAGTAGTTATCCTGTCCCAAAGGTTAAGTCATGCCCGACCAAGAAGACTTGTTGAGAAAGTATATCGTCGCATGGCCATTCTTGGTTGAGCCTTACAAAACCGTATATTTTCACTCTTCTCTAAGTCGTGAAACAGAGCCGGCCAAGAAAGTCAACATCCCTGCGGCAGAAGCCCCTGAAGGACCTGTGACGTTCGATCTGGATCCTTACATCAATCAACCACTACAGTTGGAAAAAAGTTAGTCATGTATTTCACTACCTGATGCCAGTAATTGCTTGCTTTTTGCCTTCCTCAGTAATAATTCATTTCGTTGATGTTGATGTTGGCAACACCGTACTTTATTCATACAACACAACTCTGTAACGACCCGTATCTCTAATTTGGCCGTATGACTACGCAGGGTATTTACGGGAACTACCGTATTCTACTTATGGGAGGGTGTTCTAAAAACGATGTATTGCGTGCTGATAGTTTCAATTTCCGCTCTGTCTGCTCCTCTCCGTGTCAGTCACAACGATAAGGCAACGACATCTTGCTCCACAAGTTCAACCAAAACTAACAGCCCAACTGCAACCACATCCCAAATGTTTAGTGGTCAAACGGTCAATGCGATGCCGAACGTGTGAGCACAACTTGAGCAAGGCGGATTTCAATCCGAGTTCGATAAAGTTTCGCATCAATCTAAGCGCAATGTACCATGTGCCAGAGTTGCGATTCATTCTTCCACCTCCATCAACAGGAGCTACGGATGTCCAGGCGGTCCCACCACCACAGCGCCGTACATCTTCCACGTGGTCAGCGCTAAGTTCTGGTCGCTTGGTGCATTATGATTATGCACCCGGGAAGGTGAGTTACTCTTCGGTTTTGGTGACCGCACAATTTTGAGCTCCCAGTTCTATCGACCAGATCTCATTTCATCGTGTTGGCAGTATTCTTCCAATGAGTATCCACGTTGATTCATCCGTATCAAACGGACCAATGTCTACATTGCTGTGTCACTCATTTGGTCTTTTAGGAGAACGGTCGGACAGTCTCAGCACATAGACCCAGTGTAACTGTTTGCCACTCAAACAAACCACTGATGTCAGTGTGCAAAGCAAAACATGCGTTGATGGACCAGCACACGTCAAGAACGGACGTAAATAAAAGCACTACCAGCAACACGTGCGTCGATATATCCCGAAAAAAAGTTCATAGCTGAAATTTCGCACAGCTCACATTCGGTTGTGCGGATCAACTCGTAAAATTTTCTTTGACGGGTGCCTTGCACCGAATAGAGCTGGTGATCTGAAGATCTGGCTGCCAAGTCTGCAATTTTGGTGGTGAATTTCAAAATGTATTTATCACAGAACTTTCTATCCCTTCTCCTAGAGCAGAAGCAAAGTGCTCTCCGGGTGCGGAATTCTAACATCTCCCCCTCTTTTTCATGGGATTTTGTCTGCACGAGAAGGTGAACTTTCGAATAAAGTTGAAGGTTTTTAATAATGGAATCTGTTATCTCCGAGATGTATCGACTAGGGTGTAAAACTTTTAATGATATGGAGCCCACTTATTAGATCATGTAGATGGGCTGTTATCGCTTTTTCGGTTAATCCTAACCTGTGTACGTGCGATGGACGCAATGGGTTTGTTGGTGCGCCCACAGTTATCTCACTGCTGACGATGAACACCTGCGGTCGTTCCAGCCAATTTGGATCTTGTTCAACTGTCATTTGCTCACTGAGTTATCCGTATTTTTAGGCCATCGAAAAGACAGACTGCGTTTTAGAGTTATCGTTCATAAATGTTGCGATTTTGGGGTAATATGGGGACTCGGGTGGTCATGCAGGATAGGAGGATTCAAATGTGGCTTAAGAACTTATTTGAGGCCCTCGATTTTGGTGTTCCGTGAACATGTTGCAAGGTCACTAGCTGGACGAAGTTCTTCAGTGGGTTTAACAGAGCCCTCCTCCAACGACTCAGGCGTCATCATAGCTTTGAAACTTACTACGCCTGGCTGCTACCTGGGGATGAATGGCACCAGCTTCCGTTTTCCGTTGTTATTATCCTTTACCACAGTATTGTCAAGCAAAATGTTCTGGACAGTGAAATCTTTTATTCATGTTAACATGTAAAATGGCAAAGTTCGCGGGCCTTTTTGTGGCCATATCAGAGGGAACATGTTATTATAATATGGCCTCCTCGGTAGCAAATATATGTTTTCTGTCTCAGAGTCCTCTGATGTCTCTGGAACATCGTGGAAAGATCCCGGTACGTCCTTTCAAGGTATCATATTTCATTCCCCGCAGACTAAGTTAAGTTAATGCATTGATAAGCTGTGATCTCCATGCTTGCCTCATATGATCTGGTGCAAAATCTTCTCCAGCACCCGGAGGCTTTAAAGCCACTCTTTGTTACGGTAACAGTTAAGTGAAACACTCCGGAGTACAAAATTGCTTGGCCATGGGTAGTTCCAATTGCTGATGTGTGACCTCTTCGTGCTGCATTCGACTGGATATCCTGCTGTGTGTCTGCGCGACAGCGGACTTTGAGGCTTCAATCAGCGAGTTTCTGTTTTCCAGCCTGTCTTGGACCCTTGAGGTACATCCTTGGGAAGCTGTGTAAACGTTTATGCTAACTTCACCACTTTTGAGCACTGAGCCTATATTTCTTCCGATTGTGTCGGTCGTTCAATGACACGGTAAGTCATGTAAGCCGATGGAACGGAAGATAGCAAACTTGTGGTGTTATCAGTGGTAGTTGTGGGAATAATTTTGAACAGTTCATTGTAAGCACCAACATAACCAGAGGTGTTGGAATAGAGAGCAAGAAGGTCATCCCTCTCTGTACGATTATGTTTAAAAGTGATGTTCCACCTACAGAGTCGAAGTCCTTTTTGAAGTCAAGGAAAACACCTGTTGTTGGTCGACGGCATTCATGGCTCTACTCAAGCATTGGATGTAACGCAAAGGTGTGATCGGTGCATCCCCTACTCGGGCGGAATCCTGCTTGACGTCTCAAGTTTCGCCGTATTATGACGCATTAGGAACTCTTTTTTTGTTGGGACAGTCGGTCGGGTACCCTTTTTTTGTTGGGACAGTCGGTTCGGGTACCTTTTTCTTTACAAAGGTGGATGACTGATTAGCGCTAATCATGTTAGACACGTTCTCATCTCTAACCGAATCCACCTAACTTATTCAAAGACTGTCTTTGAGTAATAGCCTGTTGATTAAGTTCAGTAAACACAGTTCCGTTAGTGTGTCTACGGAAACCGCCCTCTCAATCGTGCCACAAGACTGGTTCCAACGAAACTGCTTCGTAGTATACTAATTTCTGTGTGCAATTGGGAAGGTACTCGTTGACCTTGGGATTATTTTCATTCTAACACTCATACATGTACCCATCTCTGCACTGTTCCATTCAGACCCAACAAATCACGCTGACCATTTGTAATCCGGCCCATCGGGTCACCACAGTGACTCTGCAGCAGTTGACCCCTGAGGAAGAAGCTTGTTGTCTCGGGCACCTGGTCCTCGGATCCGATTGTACCGATCTGTCTCCGAAGGCCGCATCAGACGAGTGTGGTGCGGGTGTACAAGATAGCACTCCAGTGGTCGGATCCGCTGGTGACACGAATTTGGATGGTCCCAAAGATCCTTGTTTCTCGACTGTCAAGGTTAGTGCTCGCTGGTGGTTTTTTCATTGACCCCTTTTTGTCAACAGCTTCCCGATTGTAATCGACTACTCAAGATACCAGTAGTCCGATTTAGGCTACCACAGATTTGTCACCCGGAGTTTTTCAGTATCTAGGATTTCTTCTCAAGCAAGACTTCATCACGGACTGCCAAGACACTTCTTACTAAGATGGCATTGTTGAATCCTTCCCTGTGCACCCTAGTTTTCTCCTTCTTTATGTGTTTCCTTTTATTCCACGCTTGTTTTTCATGCTGGATCGCAAATCACAAATTTCTGGAGTGTACTAATATTATGCCTCTCTTGTTTAGTTAACCTTACCGCCGGGTGAAATCAAACTAGCTGCCAGGAACGCCATGGCAGAATACGATGAAAACTTGCCCGCCAGTCTATCTGTAGAAGGCCAGACAGATCCCAAGTAAGTCGTGAAATCATTAATTCAACGAAATTACATAGCAACTGTGAGTCCTAGTTACTTGTTGATTAGTATTGTTTGTGTGCGCTCTTTATTTATTATCGATCTATCGATCTGTATGCAAAGACGGCTGCTTTGGTCCAATATCGTAGGCCTGATCCAAGCCTAAGATTTTGTGTGAATGCGAAAAACTTAACGTTTACCACTTTCTCTTGCGTTACTGTCATGTGTTACAAGGACGGATCATTACGCAAGTATTGTGTTTCCAAAATTAAGCTTCTAGTGAAGTTACGAGTGTCGTCTAACTCTGATGATGTACTCACAACGGCCAACTAAATGGACACTGTCCAAGTGACCCGCACTTTTCCAATGTCCAGTGAATGGCTATCTAGCTGCTGTTCGGGTTTGCGTCCAAACGGTCTCCGGGGTTGAGTATTAGTTTCTTCGTCTAGATGGCTTGAGCCTACTTTTGTGGGACTCTATCGTGTACTCATTGAACACTTGGCGATTGGAGCTAATTCAGATTCTTTTAAGTACTTTTCACCTGAATTTGAGCACAATGAAATGCTAAACATCAAACGGTACGCAAGTTTGGGGACCATAGTATCTGTCCCGTATACATAATAAATAAATAAATAAATTGTCCAGCTGTAACCTTCTTCCGGTGCTTAGCTGCCCATCCCACCCGAAGGAAGCACAAGGGCTGAGATACTGTCAGGTTACCCAAGCCTAGACAGGGGAAGTCGAGAGGCAGGAGTTGGGTTCGAACCACGGACCTTCCGGTCAGTAAATCCACGCTCTAACCACTTAAGCCATATTGCCCCCAGTATACAGAAGAGGACTGCTATATGTTCTCTTGTGAATTTCATCCCCATGTGTGCCGATTAGATAAGTGGATAATACTACTGCACAAGCATCCACTTATCTAGCCCATCTCGCAGTTTCCTCCACTTGATTGTGCTTGACTGAAGCGGGTATAGTTTCACCATTTATTGGTCGTTCGCTGGTTAGCCGGTGTTCTGTCTTCCATCAGTGTTCTTACTATCGTATTGGGTCACAGCAATCTGTGACTACTAAGTGATACCAGAGGCCATCAGTTTACACCATAGCATATCCGTTGTGTGACAAGAACACAACCCAACTACACATAGTCGTGTTTCACGTTTCAGTAGTTCCCATCTTCCTCTCCATTGTCGTTTATGGGCAACTTAGCGTAACCTTCGTTATTGCCTTTTCATTACATTTGCCCTATGACTACTGCATGTGTTCATCGTTCACTAATTCCTGTCAGGAACTCCGATACTGCTTGTCGTGCTTTAGTCTTCCGGTGTCACTCTGATTTGGAATAAAGCTGTGTTGACACCGCGATAAATCATGGGTCCATGTGTGTTTTATCGTGACTTCACGGCTGATGAACGGAATGGAACGACTGGCTCAGCAGTTGATGGTTAATATCAAAAACGGCATTTACGAAGATATGTGTCCAGGGGACTGACGAAAATCAATAGAAAATAGAACAAAAACACAGGACCACTCCATGATACTGCCCTATTGAGGGAATGTTGAACCATGGATTCGTGCTTATTTGCTTCAAAACACCATTAAATTACTCCACGACATTCTGATTGCGTGGCTGAATGACATTTCGACCAGTACTTCCCCACAGTCTGTTAAGCCTGTTTTTCTTTCTGTTAGACTTTGTAGTCACACTATCGGAACAAAGCATTGTGCTTTCTCAGACATTTCATTTCGACTCTCCTTATTCGAGTAGTGCACAGAGTCTCCTTTACTTTCCATTTTCCACAGAGTCGTCGCATTTCGTCGTGGTAACAAGGTCGGCATTCATGTGGGTATGACTCCACTGAGTAATGTGCGGTTTCCTCGTTCAAAGCTTTCACTTGCCCCCGTATTTGAGGAAGGTCAAGAAGACACTCCACCGATCTCTTCGGAACACTCGCTTGTTCCGCTTCGGGCTGCTGTTCGCCTACAGTTTGATTACAAAAATGTCACAACCAGCTTGCTGTCTGAACAACGAGCAGCCGCTGCAGCGGCGGCCGCTGCTGCTGCCGCTGTCACGGCCTCTACTTCGGTGAAAGACAGTAAAGACACGGGAGAAGCCGCGACACCACAAACGGCGAGCTCTAGTCCGACGGATCAAATCAGCCAGATCTCGTTGGTGGTTCTGCTACAATTTGGAGACATGGCAATTACACCCAGCTGATCATCTTCTGGCCCAAGCCTGAACGGGCTCACTTTTTTCCCAGCCGGTCTCGGTTCTGACTATCATCTCTCACGGTCAACCCACTTACCCAGTCTGTCCACTAACTTACTTTCCCATCGGTGATATTTCGCTTTAAGGTTCTGGTTAATCGGGAAGCGTAGCAATAAACGCACTCTTATTTCGTTTCTTTCGATAAAATAGAAATCATGGCTCCGGTTCTTGCTACTTTTTGGTTGGTGAAGTCGAAGAGGGTTTTATTTCGTGATTCACTTGGGTTTCATGATCAGTCAGCAGTCGGTCGGTGTGATTTCATGAAAGACAAATCTTCCACGGATCTACCAGTTTGGTATTCTGGTTTTCGGATCACGTTTGTTCTGGTTCATGTCTTACTGGATCGTCATCGATGTAGGAGCATCGGTTGGGTCATGTGCCTTTAGACGACTACAGTCCCAAATGCATTACTAGTTGACAACAGTTCACCGGGCCTGGTTAGGGCTTCATTATTCACTCGCTGTCTTTACCATCAACGAACGGATCTATAAAGTCCAAAACTTGTGATACATGTTTTTGATAGCTGGACTAGCGTAACAGTGATTCGTGCACCTTTTTATGAGTTCATGGTTTCCCAGCAGACATCTAGTGCCTGTTTGTGTGGGTGCCCATAGTAATATTGGAAAAAGATCCGCTGCAAACCGTTGACATTCAGTGCAGTTTGTGTTTGCTACGTTCCGTGAGCAGCGCAAGTGGTATTATGACGACTCCCTCAGGGAAATTACCACACGCAGTAGTGAGCATAGTTCTGAGGTGCTCGCTAGGACTTCTTGTGAAAGAGACCCAGAACTCCCGACAGAAAAAGGCCTGCTGCGGACTTGCGGCATGTGACCACGGAGGTGTCCATTGACATACTAGAATAGGTTAATGTAGATAGTGTTTTCCTGTAGATCATCATCAGGGAAGGCAACATCTCTGTTGATACTAGTGCTTCACTGCCGCACAGTCATTCTCAACCCGGTAGTTAAGTATATTCGGGTGGGTTGTACCGATCAATCTACTTGGGTACCATACACATCCACCTACTTGTAGATGTCTGTACTAAGTTGCTACACTCGGTGGAGTGAACACCTCACGTGCTCCGCGTTGCCCACATCGGACACGAACGAGTGTTTAATGATGTTGTTTATACCATTATTTAAATGATCGAGGTGTAGTTTATAGACTGATGTTGTTTCGGCCACACAGGGATCATATCAGTGAAACCTTCCCTCTGAAGTAAAACCACATGGTTACAAGTCACAAGGAGAATTTCTTACCAGGTTTCTACCGAGCTCAATATACCCGGACAGATCACCTTCACTTCCTTTATTCCAAGATTTCCTCTCAGTGACTGATTCACTTGTCTCAATCTACCCTGAGCGCATCCATTACTCGGATTGTTTTAGCCGGCTGTCCCCGTGATCCGTCCAATATGCCGGTGGCCAAACCCCACAGGTGACGTAGCAATTGCTTACAATAAACCGAGATCGTGTCCTTGATCAAGACCGCCCTCAGTTGCTCCTTCCATGATCTACCACCAGATAGTCGGTTTTATTTCATGAACAGAGGGGCTACTTCAATTTGGATGTCATTTGCCGCATACCATGGCAGGAGCAGACGACAGGTTGCCTGGGGCCTGACTATCCGGGCTGAACTATAGGAGTGGGAACACGCGTAAACTATAATTGCATAGTAATGGTGGAGGAAAGGTTTATGCTGCCAACTTATTCATTGGAAAAAAACCAACTGAACAGATACGGACTATTGGACAGGGAAAGCAGAACTCTCATATAAGAACGGAGTATCCGTCTTCTTCTCCAACGCGTCTTCCCGATCTTTCCTGGATACTCATTGACTATCACTCAAATGTTAACGAAGCCTACAAAGCAACCCCACAAATTCCGTGATAAACCTCACTTTTCAATAGACGTGGAGCGGGTTTACGAGAGAACATACTACTCGCATGCCTCATCAGTAGTATCAATCTGTGAAAGTCGTTCGCATGCCACTGATTTTCGTTTACCTCCGTCAGGTCGGCCGCAGCAGCTGGTCTGTTCGCCCGCCCTTCGGGTGCATCATGCCACTTACGAAGCTGAGTATCATTTACTCTTTTCGATCCCCGACCGACTTGAATTGTATAGGCGTTTTCCCGGCGGGGGTAACGACACATGGACCTTGCCGTCGACGGCTCAGCTTCCGCGATCCCAGTTCACTCCTTCCAGGATTCTAATGATCCTTCCAGTTGACCTTGGTGTCTATGGCCACGCCCTCCTACCTGCTTTTTCTCTCTAGTCCTTTCCTGAGCGGCGGCCAAGTTTTCTCGAGTTTTCCTCCTTTCTTCCTCTAGCTCCTCCGGAGATAAGCCGGAAAAGCCGGTCACAACCCAATTTCCTGATCAACCGGAAGGCGCGGATATCGACTGTTCTTCAGCATAAACGGGGACGTGCCTGTGGTTGGCTTTATGGAAGCATGATGAGCTAGAAACACCATCGGCAGTTTCACTTTCTAGTCACCTCCTTTGGCCACCAGCCACTCCTTGATAGTTCAGTTGTTACGTTCGGCTAAATGATTTGTTTGCGTGTGGTAGGGTACCGTCCTCAGCCGTCTGGTACCCAAATTCTGCAAGCAATTCCTAAACTGTTCGCTCTCAAAGTAAGGCCCCTGATAGGATAGGATAACTTTCGGTACCCAATTGTTGGCCACGATACGATGCATTATCACTCCGCTGGTCGACGTCGCCCGTTGATTTGGCACGGCTGCTCACAAGTCGAACACCGTGAAATACTGGAATGCTGGAGGGAATCGAAAATCCCTGCAACCGAAGGGACAGCTACAACCCGATTTACGTTCAGTTCATTCAAACGAAGGAAATCCACGCTGAACCTTTAGTTTCCGTTTTCCTTCCTACAAGCGCAACCATGGATTCGTATGCTCAATTTTGGCTTCCTCGGTTGTGCCATTTTTTAGCATCTCTTGAATCTGTTTATGGGCCTCCTCCCGCAGATGGAGCGGCAGTGGACGGAAACCGTGAGGTCGAAAGCGTTCTGACGACAGCGGAATTTCGTGTTCATTCCACCGGCAGAAGCCAAACGGATCGCCCGTGGAGAGTTCGGAATAATCCTCGACCACGGACTGTACTGACGACACGTTACAAGACGGAAGCTTCCGGGCATGCGGCATGCTCACGGAAATGCTTAGGTAACCTTCAAACCTGATTGTGCCATACCTTTTCACCAGTTTTCCCTGCTTTAGTTCAGCCACCGAGCCTGTGCTCTTGAGATCTACCCCCGATATTATCCGCTCCATTTCCGGGCCGATCGGGAGCAAGTGCTGCATGGGCTTGTCGCCGTATTGAGTTCATCGACAATCTGCCAATTTTCAGTCGATATCCACCCAGTGCTCTCACGGCTAATGCGCACGGTCTGAATTTGGCTTGGTTTCCTCTCTGCCTCAGCGATACCACTGCACAACTCCCTCCTCCCGTCTATCTCGATAACGGACTGTATGGTAGCCTGGTTCATTGCTAATTGCAACCCACCCAAAAAAGAGGAGTAATCCAAAGTTTTATTATGGACGGGTGGTCATGTATGATGGCTTTGATTCTTCCAAAGGTCGGGCATGCCACACTCCGCGATTCCATCTTCATGGCTGCGAGCTGTTCGGCGAGTTAGTCCATTTCTGTCTGCAGGTCCTCCACTGTTGAATCATCCCTGTTCTCCTGCGACGGCAACGTGGCTAATGGTGCCTCAAGCAATTCCTCTGCCAGATGCACCAGGTGCTCTACACTCAACCGGCCAGTTGCTCTCGCCGACCGCGACTGGGCACGAAGCGTGGGCCTCACAACTTCGACGAACTGGCCAAACAGTAACTGCTGGCGCGACATTCCATCCAGTCCCAGCAGGGTTCGATCCAGCGACTGCTGCATGCCGGTAAAAAATGATGTCGGGTAACCTCCCGGCTCCATCCTGGCTTGAACTGACCCATAGCCTCCTGGCGGTCGGCCGGTTTGTCGAATGCTGCGGCGAGAGCTCCCTTTACAGTGGCTTAGTCCATCTTCCGAGGTCTCCTTCTGGCCTAATCCAGGGCTGTCTTTTTCCGGCCTTTGAGGGGGGTCTTCCGCGCCGCCAACTTACCTCGGTTGGCCTCCCGTCCAGCAGACCCCGCAACTACTTGGAAGTCCTCCAGAAAGATCCGAACACTCCATTCTTAAAGGGTTGTGGCCATGGGAACTCCATCCTTATCCTGGACACAGCACCAAAGAAAAAAGGATGCCTTCGTTGAGGAGTTATTCATCGGAAAACACCAACCGAAAGGAATATTGGACAGGGAAGCAGAACGTCTTGTGTATGAGAACGGAATATCCGTCTTCTTCTCAAAAGCGTCTTTCTGAACTATCCTGGGTACTCTTTGACTATCACTCAAATGTTAACGAATGCTAAAAAGCAACTCCACGAATTCCGTAATAGATCTCACTTTTCAGGAGACGCGAAGCTGGTTTACTAGAAGACTTACTCGCACGCTTCATCAGTAGCATTCACGGTTACATGATCTACCACACGATCTCCTCCCAGACGGAGTTGGTTGTGTTTCAGGAGCAGAGGCGCTAATTTTTATATGTATGCGCCATTTGGTGCATGCCATTGCAGGAGCAGACGACAAGCTGTCTGGAGCTTCACTATACAGTCTGAAATATACAGGTGGGAAAACGCGGAAATCATTAATACATAGTAATGGTAGTCTTTCTTCTCCGACCCCCGCCACTGTCCTTCCTCCGCTGGATGCAGATTTCATCTTCCGAAATGTATTGGGTGGTCACTTCCTGAAACTATCAGACAACCTCTTAATCATTGTTGATGTCAGCAGATAGAGTAAGGCTGTAATGCACCCGTAAATCATCTATATGCCCACATTTAATGAT